ATCTAGAGTATAAGACTTTGTCATCAAAGGTACGCATATCACAATGATTGACATACATATGGACGTGTATATCCTCTGCTACCAAGCGGTCAAGATACACTTTGAATGGCTTTGTCTCCTGGTTCCCTCTGGGTGGGGTGAATGCAGCAGTATATGGCATATCCTCAGTATAGGTTGGTAGACATGACCAACCAGATATATGTAGGAAGTGTTGGAGCATACAAGCATGAAAAGTGTTGAAACATGTGAATCATTAGTAATGAATTTGAAAATGTTTATGAAAATGGCATACAAACACTAAAAGACTAAGAAATATCATCGTCAATAGTGTGATGTTGCCTGTCACATATTTCATCTTCCACATACAACCTTTGAGTTGTTGGTGTAAGCCCTAGAGGCTAATACTTTTGATACTTGTATCAAATTATTTATTATTAATAAAAAGCATTTCTTTAATATGTTTGTTTTTCCAGAATAATGAAGTCCCTAAAATAGCTAGTTCGTTTAATGAAAATATTAAGTGTGACTTAATCATGAGATCCCATTAAATATAAGGACATTATTCTTAAAGTATCTGTAGTCGAGATTTACTGTGAAGTGGGATAACCTTAAAGAATTAAGACTATTTTGTAGATAAAGTGACGATCACATCTCATGGATCATGGATAAGGAGCTATCAAGTCTTAACATATGTATGAATATTATGAGTAATATTTATATTGGATTGACCCGCTATGAGAGTACTACATAGAATGTTATGCAAAGTGTCATAAGTTACTCTCATGGTGATAGTGGTGTATACCATCCTTCGACCTGAAACCACAATGGACTCTAAATGTAGAGTCGGGTACTTTATTGTTGATCTAACATTGTCCATAATTGGATGATCATAAAGACAATTGATGGGTACTCCACAAAGCATGTTGAGGGACATGAGTAACCTAGATAGAATTTTCCTATCCTCTAAGGGCCCAATATTGAGTCGGACAAGGACGACACGATATATGCATTATGTTTAATATAGACATAAATACAAAAGGGTAATTGTACACACAAATATTATTATAAAAGGTTTTGTTAGATCACATGACATTTTCGTGACTTGAGTAGCAGTGATGTGTTGCTAGATACCGCTCACTGTTTATTATGTTAAATGCGTGATTTAATATAATTTCCAACGTCAAAAAAACCTACAGGGTCACACGCATAAGGGTAGATTGATAAGAGGTAGAGTAAATAAGGAACATCGTAAGGTACGATGTACTTAAGTAAATGTAGAGCACCGTAAGGTAAGGTACACTTAAGTAGAATACGAAAAGTGGTAAGGTATCACGCGCTTAAGTGATACACGGTACACCATAAGATATGGTGTGTGTGCACTTAAGTGGGGTTTTTAGCTTGGAACCTACAAAAGTGGTTCTATAAATAGAACCCTTGTGCTGAAGCATTCACACTTAATGAAAATTCAGACTGTGAAATCCTAACCGTATTTTCCTTCTCTCTCTAACTCAAAGCCTTCAATCGTGGTAGCTAGCACTGAGACTGAAGAAATTTGTTTGTGTGGACTGAGTAGAGGCGTTGTTAATCATTCAACACTCGTGATCACTCCTTCAATTCAGTATCAAAGGTTTTATTGTCACAAGAGGTAATAGTTTCTATCTCTGATCATGCCCATTCGTAAGGACCACTAAAGGGAAAATTTTAATTTTTGTTACGTTTTGGATCGCGATTTCCCTTCATGGATAACTTAGAGTACAAGTAGACCAACACAAGTGGCCTTTCAGTTGTACTCATGGATCTGCTCAAAGTCATCGAAGCATCGTAGGTAGATGACATCCACATAAGTGATAGTCTTGTCCATAAAAATGGCAGTGCCAACCAAATACAACATGTATGCTCCCATAGTGTATACTTTATACTGCACAACCTACTCATCATCACCAACAACCTGCTCTGCTATAAGTAGCTCATTTGTATACTGATCAATGCATTTTAATGCACACTCTTTTACTACTATTCTACTTCAATTATATATTTTCTCTTGTTATTTCTATTGTTTTTAGTATGTTTTCCAATTTTAATTCAACTTTGCTCTTATTTTATTTTTGTCATTTATTTTCTAAATAAGTAGTTACACATTCTCACTGTGCATATTATAACTTGAGCTACAAGATGTCGTTTGACGCGTTCTAATATGTTAGAAAGTTAAAAGAAAGAGCTACAAGTTTTTTGTTCATATCAGAAGTCAACTCAAAATGCAAAGATTCAAATTATTATTTTTTATTCCAGTCTTAATAAAAATAAATTAGTTAGTTTTGGGCCAGTTTATATTTTTCTCGCTGGTGGTCTTAAAGCCCAATTTTCTATATTATTTAAGATAAACCTAACATTAGGGAAAGTTTGGTGGTTTTTAGGAATTAAAGAGCATTGGGATTACATGGTCAGCTAAACTCCGAGGTTAATCTACTATTTCAAAATTTCATGAAGACTTTGAGGTTATTATATTATCAATTTTTATTCAATTCCTTTAAATTTTGTTTTATGTATTCTTGTTTGCTTAATTTGAGTTGCATACAATATAATTGATTCATGTTCCTTAACTTAGCATTTTAACTTAACTTATTCGTTAACTTCACTCGATCTTCAGCCCCCATGCTTAATGCGGCATATAGGAATATAATCACATAGTGTTGATCACGCTTGTTAATCAATACTATAATCAAATAGGAATTGAATCCGCTTAGGGAGTTAGTGATATAATAATCGATAATATGTCTGAAATTACCAAACCAGTAAATTAATCTGTTGATCATAATTGTGATCATTTTCTTTATTTTCAATTGTCTGAAAACCTAAAACCCCTTTTTTTGTTTCTTTCCTTTGGTTAAATTAACGTAGACTCCTTGTGATACGACTTGAGTGCCGCTTTCTTATAATACACTTTATTTACTCATTTTTTAAACCGTGTGTGACAATGGATCATATACACCTTCTCCAAGAATCGAAACCTAACATGAGCCCCTCGAGTGGTTTCAAACTCCTTCATGGCAACCTCTGTGTCAACTCCCATATAGTCTACCATTAACTCTAGTGAATCATCTTTGTTAATCTTCTCATGATTTAAAAGTTTCCCCCCAATCGAAAGATGCAGCAAACACGAGACATCGTCCAACGTGATAAACATCTCGCCATGTGAAAGATGAAATGATGACATCTCTGTGTGCCATATCTCTACAAACGCGGACAACATACCATGGTTAATCGTAACATTACCGGTCTTGCACAAGTCTCTCATTCCAGATAGGTGCAAAACATCCTGAAATCATTGTTGCTTAGGCTACTTCAGACAAATAATCTTCTGGCCATGGTTGATGAATTTTAGAGCATCACGGTCTTGCAGAAAAATAAATCATCATCAAATACTTTTAATATTATAATCAACATGATTTAAAAAGAATGAATCCAACTAAATTTTACCTCTCTGTCCCATACATGTCTAGCACTATGGTCCGGATAAAGAGGCAACAACGACAAGTCGGACGGGTCTCCTCCAAACCCTTGCGGTGTTGGTGGTGTCTGGGGTGCCTATGTTGCCTCTTGGGCCTATGGTGCCTCTGGTACCTCTAGTGCTTGAGGTATCTCCGGTGACTTTGGTACCCCTGTTGCCTCAGATGCTTGAATATGTGAAATATGTCGCCTACAAAAGGATGGAGATAAAGATGCATGAGTAGGTGACACCCGTCTCCTACGAGAAGAAAAAGGCGGAGATACATAAGCCCCAGAAGTTGACGCCTCCGCATCAGCTGGGTTAGAGGTCACAGGAGCCTACGATGGTTGACTCTTTTTTCTCTGAATAGATGCATGTTGTGCAATCTTGTTGTGTCTCAATCAGTCTTACCTATCAGCCATAATGTTTGTAAGTAAACCACACAAGCGTTACACAATGAGTACAAGCAAAATTTCCAAAAAATACACTGAAAAAATCCGGAGATGCATCTATGGTTTATGGGAATCAAAACGTTGGAAAATTCTAGAGATGTATCTCCAGAATTTTCTACACCTGTCATCACTATCAATGGTGGAAACGCAATCCCCTAAAATAGCAAAAATAGTATATTGATCAATAAAACTACCTATCAAACTTGTTTCTCATTATGTATAAACTATCAAACATCTATAAACTATCTATTGCATACCCTAATCATCAATTTCTATAAACGACCTATCAAACTTGTTTCTCATTATGTATAAACTATCTATTGAGAAAATGTGGGTTGAGAGAGTTTAATAAACATGGTTTAGAGTTGTTTTTTTAAAAGTGAGGAAGAAGAAGGAGTTCTGACGCAATTTTAAACAAAAAGTGTCCGAAGATGTCCGTAATTCTTTTTCCCATTGACTTAGAGCCTAATTCAAAAATGTATTAATTTAACATGCATTCGAAGATGCATCTCCAAAATCTAAAAATATTATTGTATTTTCACGAGAGTATAGTAGTAATCCATAAAATCCACTAAGAAATCTCCTTAATAATATCTAAATTATCCTCTTTCATATAAGTTTTTGAAAAATACTTCTTTTATCTCTCAATCAAAATATTTAAGTCTTCTTCATCCTCGGTATTCATCATTGTATTTTGTTGGATCTTTAATCTGGTTGTTATTTTTTCTATTTGGTTATTTTTACTAAAAAAAAAGTGTAAATTACTGTCTAAGCAACCAATTTCAACTGTTACTATTTTCAGGCTATTAGAATTTTTTATTTTTTTTTTGCAAAAGACAATAATTCTACTAATGACTATAACACACCCAAGCACAGCTAACAAGGTGGAAAATATAAAACCAGAATCAAATTACAAACTAGAAGTACTCAGAAGATAATAATCCCAAATTCTCCACTCCAACCCACATTGTCAAAACCATGAGACTAACAATTCATGCTATCCACCAATCATCTATAGCAAGACTTTGAATCTTCATTTGACCATATGCCTAGAAAATTGACTAGATCTTGTGAACACCATAACCTGATTCCTCTGATGTCAAATCCTCTTTCCAATTCTCAAATTCGTCTCCACCAAACACTATTTGCTTAATCCCAACAAAGCTATCAAAAACACAAGAGCAAAATCAATTAATGGGATTGAAATAGACATCTAATTAAACGGACAGAGAAAGTGGAGAACATACTCAGAACTTATCTGTGTTAATGCATTTATCAAAACATCTAAAATCAATGGGTCATCAGTTCCAATATCCACCCTGTTATATCACAACAAGACATTATAATTAGCACTTCAGATCACATTCATTAATATGTATAATAGAACATTAAGAATGAAGGAATATGAATTCAGTGTGGCACCATATTCGAGCCAAGTTGTCTTGAACCTCAAGATCCCCGATGTTGTAAAATGTAGTTGGCGTCACGTTTGCTCCCTGAACGTAATCATAACTTGGTCGTTTTTCCATCTGAGATTGTGACAGCTGTAGAAAATTTATGCCACTTCTATATAAGCAATACAATCATGTTTGAAAAATTCAATAAAAATATAAAAGAAAAATGAGAGAAAGAAAATTTGGTTCTAATGGAAGAAGAGAAGAATAACTTACTTGCATGTTCATGGCGTTGCATCCTCCAAGACGTCCTACAATGTGCCATGCTCGAATAGTCTGCAAAGGCCCAAATTCAACAGGTTGCCTGATAAGAAGCATGTGTGCAACGTGGAGAATGTACTAGAAAAATAGAGTCATAGGATGATGTTACTTACATCACAAATTAAGGAGATGTCTTTTGCCAATGGAACATTGTAAAATTCAAACCATATATATGAGTTTGAATAATCAAATCTGGAAATGCCAGCATCGGGGTGAGAAAAACAGAATATATTTTTTACAGAAAAGCAATTAGAATCTTTACTTATTGCAGCATGTAGAACAAAGTGAAATGTTAAAAACAAATTATTGTTTGGTTTATTGTATGCAACAGAGACAGTTAAATTGAAAATGCATAGCATCAAAATTAGATCCAGAATATATATATCTGACTATCTGTGATGATATTTGAAATACACCTAATTATCCCTAGTAAATATACTAACACTGACTAGATTTTTGGTAATTGATGACACAAATAAAAGATTTTTCGCCTTTGGGGTGACATTTTAACACAAGGTTGTCTTGGAAAATGACAGACCCATTATTCATGTGTAGTAGGAAAGGTAAAAAGGGGCAGGGAAAATGATGTAAGCTTTTGTGTGAATAACATGAGAAGGAAATTTGATGCAGCATGAAGCATATATACTATAAAAAATTTCTGCCTAATTGCATATGATACACCGATATGCTCCAATACGTTGTCGATATGTATCGAAGGAGTATCCGAATATTTTATTTAAAAAGTTACAAAAATTCTGATGTATCAAGATACGGAAGTGACACATCTCTGATACGCCATGAATATGGCCCGTCTATATATTGACTTTACATTTGTCCACTACATGAACCAGACTCTTCTCTCAGCTTTACTTACTTATTCTCTCTCCTATGTAATTTGAGATACACCCATTTAATACTCCATCTCAAAAAATATTATATTTGAACCGTTCTTTAAAAAGTGATTAGATAGTATGATTTTAATGATAAAGTTATATTTTGTGTTGGTTCCTATCAGAAGAAAAAATAAAGGAACCAACTGGCCAAACCTTGACCATTCCCCATCAGAATCTAGTCCTGACCATCGGGATCAATTGGTCACAGGAGGCGTTGCGGATTAGATCTAATATGATATGTGGTGTGCGAATCAGCATACTAATGCTGTGCGGAGGAAGGTTCAGGAGCAGCATGAGTCACCATTCCAGATGGCTGTTTGAGGAGCCCTTCTGTAGGAAATATTTTGACTAAAACAGAGGAAATGGAGATTGATCTTGATAAGATCAAAAGTATCAAACTCAAGAAATGGAACTATGGCAGAGATTTTATTCACAGCAGAGGAAATAAATGGATTTGGATTCTCCATACTGCAGGGGATCTAGATGAAAATAATCGAGAGTAATCTCAACCAATATTTCAAAGAGCAAACTCTTAACAAGCAAAGAATTCTCCCTCCAAAACGGTTAATAGCCCATACTTAACACTCACCTACAAAACCAACTCTTTACAGAAAAAACCCCAGCCTACTGGTCATTCTTCTTGTAAAACTTCCATCTTTTGGATCCGTAAGAAAATTGGTCATTAGGTTCAAGATTCAAGTGCCTATCATATACTACTGCTTCCATGGTGAATGAGATGGTTGTGAAGGCAATGATGGGGACCAGGATAAATAACAATAAGGCAGAAGCCTGATGAAGAAGCATGAAGTTGACCATAATTACAGCTTACCTAAGGTAACCAACTTAAGCATCAATGACTGATCTTTTAGAACACTAGACACCTGCTCATATTTCTGCAACCTTCACTGCCACCATGTCAAGAATACTACCATTACCTATTATGTTCTTGTGATGATAATTGCTGGCGAAGAGGAAGAGCCCCCACAGGAACTAAGAGAATCTTGTAAGCCTATTATACGAAAAAGCAGAATAGGGGTCACCTAGACCATTCGGAGTCTGTTAGATTCCGTTAAGTAGCAATATGCTAATCTCTCATTAGTAGTCTGTGTTTCAACTCTACCAATAACTCAAAACAAAAAGGAAGGTATGTCTGATTAATCTAGTGTGAAAGGATAGGGCTCATTTGGTTAGTATTGTGTACTTTCCTTTGCGTATTCTTTCCTAATACAGAATTCTATTCTTTCTTTCTCTAGCAGTTCTCTATTTTTTGCTAAGTATTCCGTTCCGCTTATATAGATCTTCCACCATTTTTATGTTCCCCAACTCAGAAGCAGAACATGAGTGTCTAACCTCCTATATCAATATGGATTATTTGGGCAGACCGCTAATAAGTTTAACAGGTGACCCTTAATAATGGTCTCGACCTGTTCCTACAAGATAATGAAGTTTATCACCCAACTTCATTGAAACTAGATGCAAAAAAGTGTCATAAATCTCCATATTTCTAACTTCCCATTTATTTCTCTCACCTCCCCTGTCCCCAATTAAAACCATATCGTCTTCAAAGAGCATGTATTGTAGCACAGTCTCTTGCAATTATTTTGAACACACATCTAGAACTAAGATATAAAAAGACAGGGGTTAAAGGTTTACATTTGGTGCACACCTATAATTATAGAATTTTATGTACTTGCACCATGTGTTTTCACACTAATTACACCCTCTTTACACATATATTTGACTGTCAAATATAAGTAATTGAAATTTTTTATTTTCTACAGCATTCTAAAACAGCTCTTTGAGTACTTTCTCGTATGTATCTTCCAAACCAAACCATATGTAAGACCGTTTTATTCCTCTAATTATCCATCAATCTTCATAGCAAGTGTATAGCTTCAATAGTCAAGACTCAAGTCATCAACACAAAATCAAGCTATACAAAATTCAAACTAACCAGATTTTAATAATTACCAATATATTCAATAATCTCAATTCTCAAACCTATCACAATTTTAACTCAGTTTTAAATGCACCTGTTAGAAAACATGAAAACATTTTAATATTTTATAGTACCTTGATGTTACATTAGAGTCTCTTAAGATTATCTCATAAGATTAGTTTTTGTATCTTAGAGTATGTTAGACTATCTGATTAATTTCCATATCTTAGTTATTATCATGATTTGTTTACCTATTTAATAAGAACTTAAAGTTATGAACTGATATAAATAAAGGTTGGTGCTTAGTTTATCTTGTATCTTCAATCATATGATCAAACCATAATCATAATTCGAAGTCTTTATTATTTGTCTTCCCTCCTTCCTTATCTAAAACCCTACAACTCCAACTGTCAGCATCCTAATATTCTAGTTCTATTTCCACTTGTGCCCTGAAAAAGGACATACTCGAAAACTTATTTCGATGCTTATTCATATTCTACCCTAAAAATTCAACCCTCGACTATACATTTTTCAATTCAAACAAACCAAATAGCAGAGAAATGAAAATTCACGATAAGAAACACGCAACTACATCAGCACAGTCAATCAAAAAAAATTTCATGGTTCAATGACATGTATATACACGGTTGAACTTACTTATTAAATGATACTTTCATTGGTACTCCTGAACCAGTCTTTGTCTGCAGTATTTTGTTCCTATTCTTTCTTAGTCTCTCTTCCATCTGCAAATTAATCAAAGCTCATTTGGTTTAATCATTGTATCATAGTTGGAAAGTAATTTCGATAAAACCCTAAACCTTAAACCCGAAACAATAAAACCCCCACATATGAGGATAGATTTGACTACTTGATTTGTGAAACTATAAGTCCCGAAGCCGATGCTTTAAAAAGCAGACCGGAGATTGAATCGATGAGGCTTCTAAGTCATGGTTTAATTAGTTCAACCCCAATTCATTCTAATTCAACCAGAACGAAACCAACAGCATATCAGTCTATTTCCGCTCAACTGGATTCCGCTTTTTAAAACATTGTATGAGACATCATTAGGTGTTACTTACCCTAGATTGTGCCTTCTCAGGATCATCTACAAAATCACCAAGTATTTCAGCATATTCAGGATTTCTATCAAAATCCTTCTCTGCCTCGCCTTTATACGGCCCACCGCCACTCGAATATCTTCTGCTATCACCGTCATATTTGTGTCCTTCTTGTGTATCAATAACATCCTTCAATTCCATCTCTTGAGGTGAAAATCCGCCATAATTATCACTCTCGTGTACCTGATCTTCCTCAGTGATGCCTATATCAAACCCAATATTATTGGAATTTTCACGCCGCGGACTTGTAGCACTGCATAACAATGTTGGTGTTGTGAGATTTCTCAAGAGTAGAAAAGGAGGTGTTGGTGTTGTGAGATTTCTCAAGAGTAGAAAAGGAGGTATAGAGGATTTGATGAAGTGATTGTTATGGGAAAAAGAGTTGGAGCATGTAATGGTAATGCATGAAGGAGGAAGAGGGGCAAAGGAGTGTGATATAATCATGGATTTTTGTGTGACTTAAGAGGTAAATTGAGATTTTTAGGTCTATTTATTAACCTGCACCATAAAAATAATTGGTTAGTAAATAAACTGCATACATGAGTGAAAAGATGTTGAAATAAATTGGGGTTTGAGAGTGTGCAGAAAGAATTGAAATGGATAGAAAGGTAAAATAAGTAAGAAAGAAAGAAGGATGTTTAAGAAAAGCAGTAGAAAATACGAAAGGGGCATCCATAGATGTAGCGAATAGAAGAGATTAGTACTCACAGAGGTGGACGGTTCTTGAGTCGGGCAACTTGAAAATTTTAGGAGATGACATTATCAAGCAGGTTTTAGTACTCTACTATTAAAACCCGGGATGTGAGGTTTAATGTTAGAAAGAGTATTTTCAAATAAAATTTAAAGTTTATTTGTAACTATTGTCAAATAAAATTTTCAATAGCTTTATAAATTTATGTTTATTTTTTCAAACTATTTTTATATGATAAATATAATTTGATTTATTTTTTAATTAATTATTTAATTTTTAATGATAGAAAGAGTAAACTATAATTTGCTTTGGGAAAATTCTCTATTCTACTATTTGAGAAATCAATAATTTTGTTTTTTTTTCTTTAGTTTATTTGTTTGATATGATAGAAATAATGTAATAGTGAATCATATGTACACAATAAAAGACAATTGCATATTCTATTATATTTAAAGTATCGATTAAGAATGAATTATCATTGAAAATTGTGTAAGAATTACTTTGAAATTAAATATCTTTGTTTCGATTTTTTATTTTTATTTATATAATTTTAAGAAAACAAAAAATATTTTATGGTGTTTAGATTCATACATCTATTTTAATTTTAGTTTTGAAATACATATTTGAAAAAAAATTTGTTGTCTTGTTAGACTATTTAATTTAATTTTTTTTTTGCCTTTATTGAGGTTTGAATTTGTGACTTCAAATAGAGAATAAATATTTTAATTAGTCTTTTGAATAATGAAAATAAGTGTTGAGATATACCAAATAAGACTATGTGATGATGTGACATAAATGGAATTGAAGTATTAGTGTTAGAATGTGCACTTTTAATATATTATAAATAGATTTTAAAACTAGGGCGTTTGCATGAGAAAAAATCTTTATATGTTAAATTATCTAGAAGACTTGTGCGTCCGCATGAAAAAAAACATTTATATGTTAAATTATCTATTTGTAATAAAATTATAATTAATATAAAATTTAGACATAGAATCATTAGAGCATAGTATATAGACTTCAATATAGAAGAAAATTTCAAAATTTGTTATACATTATCATTTGAATTGTAATTGTATTTGTTACACAAAAGTACATGATAATTCAATAGTCGTGGGACATAAAGCAAGATTCAGTTGATTTGAAATTAAATATTGTTGACTGAAAGATTTCGACTGAGAAGAGTTGACGAAAAGGCTAACATGTGCTCGACAAGTCAGGAAGAGGTGAAGGAAAGACCCAAGTCGACACCAGCGAAAGATATATCGCAAGTCGACGCCAGGTATTGTGAGTCGATCCAAAGCTATGTCGTCGAAGGTGTCGATTGATGGCCAATGAAACTGACATATAGTGTGGGAACCTTTGAGCGTGAAGGAATTTAAAAGGCTGAAAATGTGGAGAAGCTATAAAGATGGTGGAGCAACACGTGTCACCACCAGGACCAACATTGAGAGAAAAACAATTATTTTCCCTTTATATTTAAAGCAATGTCCATTTTCATTTAGGAGGTCACATTTTGTAACATTGTCAAAGGAATACACTTTGAGTACCAAGCGTCAAGAGAAAAGAGTTCACTCTTGCAAAATGTATAATAGCGTCCACATTTCTTTTTAAAGAAATTTACATTATCAAATTTTAAGATATCTTTCCTTTTACTTGTTTACTTGCTTGTTTATCAATTCATGTACACTTTCTCTTCAAGTTTGTTTCCGACTTACTCTAAACAAAAACCATTCTACCAACATCACATAGACTTGACTAGATTGTTCTGGGACTTGTTTGGCCGGTCCCGCAAGTAAACATGTGTTAGGAGGCCAGATGTTGTTCATGTGAAAACTGTGTGCGAACAAATTGGCACACCCGGTGGGACACTTTGGTTTGGGTGTATGCATTTACGCAGTGGTAAGATGGTGATACCATGCCCAAATGAAGAACCATCTTCGAAGGGAAATACGATTGTGACACAAACAAATGATGTTGGCGCTGACGCTGCGTCTGCGGTTTCAACTGCACATAGTGGGCCTATCGTGACATCACGTCGACCTGAACCTAGGCCTATAATGGCGGAAACTAGGGGGCAGTATGCGCCTAGTTTCACAATGCCCACACCTCGAGTCTTTGGGATGCCAACAGATTTTATGTCGAGCTTACATAATAGTGGTCCACTCTTTGGAGAAAGTTCATCGTTAGCTTTCTCACCGTATCAAAGATTAGGGCCTTTAGCAAACCAAGTTACTAGGCCCCCAGGGTTTAGTCTTCCATCTCAATCAATTCCAACTTTCACCTCAAGTTTTGTCGTCGTTATGAGACAGCAGATGGATGAAAGTAATCACGAAATGGTTCATATGCTAACCCAACAAATGAGCACCATATTAAGACCATTAATACAAGATTCGACCCAGAGTTACTAACAGTTGGCAACTCAGATGACACAGATAGGTGATTTCCTAGGCGCTCCTAGGCCCCTGGTCGACAAACTCCTCCACCTCGATCGGAGACGCCAATTCAACAAGACAAAGTCTTCGACGAAACAATTGATCAACAACCCCACGAGTTTGAACACACACCTAGAGTGGCCCAAAGGCCTCCCGTTGTTTTAGTTCATAGGAACCAAGACCCAGACTATGTAGTCAGATAAGTTCGACGCGAAGCCATGGCTGGCAAACCAAACTTAAAAGCTATGGTGGGACGGATTATGGTTCGCAATGGAGCGAACCCAGGCCTTCGAAGACCAATATATACGTCCCCACTACCAGACTTTGTTTTGCAAACAGAGCTGCCTAGGGGATGGAAGGTTCTAAAGTTCACCAAATTTTCCGAAGAGACCGAAGAGTCCACCATTGAACATGTTGCCAGATATCAAACTAAAGCTGGTGACATAGCAAACAATGAGGACTTAAAAATGAAGTATTTTCCAAGTTCCCTCACAAAGAATGCGTTTACTTGGTTTACCATGTTACCCTCACAGTCTGTCCATACCTGGGCACAATTAGAAAGGTTGTTTCATGAACAGTTTTACATGGTGTCACAACTGCGAAAAGGGTCGGCGAAAACAAACAGAAGAGTCGCCACCGAATGTTATTTATCCCAAAGAGAGGGAAAGGAAACGATCGAAGAAAACCTGAAGAACAAGAAAAGAAAAGGTCATCACAACCAAATCTTGGATTCGGGAGTCGGTTACGCAAGGGGAAGGTATGGGCATCCCTCACGTCCGTTGTACTCAACGAGATCCATACTTTTTGTCTAATCAAAGGGTGTGTTTTCTATAAGCTACTGCTAAACGGAAACGGGAACAAAGAAAAAAGAAAGAGACTCGATAGGATATCACCGCCCTATACCTACGTATTCCCTCGTGCAATGGGAAAGTCAGAGTCAACGTAGCTCGAAAAACTACGAGTGATGGGGGAAGGTTTCTTCCCAAGACATCATCGTCTTGTGCCTACGTATCCTCATCTGGTATGGGAAATCAGAGCAAACGTAGTTCAGGAAAATTAGACCACAGGTTTGTTAAGTATTTTTTAAAAGTGACGCTAAATTCTCATTCCAGCAGTTAGGGCTGATGCCTGTTTGCGGTAGAACAGAGAAGTAACACACTCTTTTTTGAAAATGACTTTGAAACAAATCCTGAAGGATAAAAAGGTTTGAATTTGGTTTAAGAGGTTTAATGAAGTGAATTGAATTTGTTTGAGATTCACGTTGCATTAAAGACTTTGATATAGGAGCCAATTATCACATATCGCCCAAAGGGCATACACTAAACACTCTAGGAAAGTGAGGAGAAACCCCTCACTCACAATTTTCCATATGATTAAGGCTCGTGGCGCACAATGTTCATAATTCTTTATTAAGTGTCTTAGAGTTGTTTGAGATGAGAAGAGAAGACACAAAAAAGAACACTAAAGGGAAGTTGAAAGCGCTAATGTTATCATACAAAATAATCCTAAGGTTAGGATGAAAAGGGGGAAGTCTATCTAATATTATCATACAAATGATGCACCTAGAGTTGAGGTCAAAGAGGGACTATCCTAATTGTTATCATGCAAAGGATTGAAAGCCTAATGTTTCTCCTACTCCCGCCTTAATCAGAAGTTAAGTGAGGCTAGGAATCCCAAGGGATCATGTGAGAAAGCACAAGTAAACACCATACTAATCAATCACAAATGAAAGCAAGCTCAATACTTAGACAAGTCTCAAGAAAACAAAGAGAAGAATAAGAGATGAAGAAAAAGATGCGATAAGAGGTAAACAAACAAGAAGTTCACTCCATAAGACACAAACATCATACAAATGCAAGCATTAGGTTCAAACATACAAAGTAAACACTAACATCATGTCAAAGTAACAAGAGTATGCTCACATGCCAAACCAAAACCAAAGATTAGAAGTCAAAGCAATTAGGCAAAACAAAGCATCAAAGCATACACGAATGACTTAAAATCAACCAAGAAGCATTTTCAATCATCAAGCATAGTGAAATGAAATCAAATGAGATGAGAACCAAGGTAGGGTAGTAGCAATATCATATCATGTTTAAATCAATTCAAAGATTATAAAATAAGCACAAGAGTGTCAAGCACACATCTTATCCGAACACAATCAATAGCCACACAAAATAAGCATGTAACAAACACACCTCACAAGAGTAAACATGTAAACTCAAGGAATGAATCCAAATGGGCAGCAACATGAACATGTCAATTCAAATCCAAACTCAAGACCTCAAGAAGGATGCATAGTCAATACATTAAGACAA